GTGTCCTAACATAATCTCTCTTCTTATATCCTAATAGGGTGTTTTATATAAAAATTATCCTTAATTCCTACAAAATAGAACCCACCATAATTTGGGTAAAATGTGTGAATTTACAATTAGGATACAAACCTCCTGGGAGAAGGATTGTATGTAACAAACGCCCATATCTGTCACCACTATAGGTCTACCTACCCCTCCCTGGATCTCACTACTCTAAGCCAAGCCTGACACAAGAGGCTACCTGTGACAGCAGAGGGCAGCAAGGAGTCAGGATGCATGAGGTGAGGTAAGGGGGCGCTCTGGTCTGCCTACAGGAACCAGATGGCTTCTTTCTGGATAACAGGAAGCTGGGTTCTTAACTTTGAGGACAGAGACAAGGAGAGATGGACCAGACATGTGGCTCACCCAATTTCCCACTGAAGACTGGAACTGGATCTCCGCTGCGTACCTCTAGCTTGGATGATCAGAATTGTCAGAGCACACGCATTTGACACAGTGGAAATGTGCTGCCTGGGCCCCTGTATCACATTTTGAATTGCCTGAATATGAGTCTTAGCTATACTCCTACTCCTGGCTTCTTAATAATGGGAGGCAATAGGTAATAGCTTAGGTAGTTGGCTCCCTGACACACAGATCAAGGTCCTGGATCCTGGCTTCAGTCTAGCTCAGGCTTGGATATTGGGAGTATTAAGGGAAATAAACAGAGGATGAGAGAGCTCTGTCTGTGTATCTCTCTATGCCTCATTGCCTCTCAAATACAATTAATTTGTGATTGAGTTTTTAAAACTTTTCAGAACTGTTTTAAATTAATTTATTAAAATAGCAGCTATTACTCACCAAAGATTTCCTAGGAGCCAATCCCTTAGGCTATTTTAATATATGGATTATAGCATTTAATAGTTCCAACCCTGTGAACCAGGAACTGTGGGTATTCCCATTTCGCAGATGGGCAAACTGGGAAATGTGCAATAAAATCAACTTTTCCAAAACCAAAGGAAGGGAGGGACAGAAAGACAAAAGGGTAGGCAATGTGGCTAGAGGATGTGGAGTTCGTTCTCTCAGCACACAGCTGAACAGAGTGAGAGAGACAGGGTGATGGATTCAGGCGCCCAGTCAACAAGAAGAGCTGGGGGAAGGAGTGAGCATAGGGGCCGCACTGTGAGTCACAAGGAAGTGGTAGCTGTTGCGTACACATCGACAGTGAGCACATAGCAAATGCCTTTCTTCCTACCTGCCTTGACGCGTTTCAGGGAGGAAATTTCAGAGAAGCTTTGTAATTGTCTTCTCCTCCAACGGAATTGGAAATGGTCACATGTTACAGCAGGATAGACAGAAGTTAAATCCCAGAACTGTGCTCTAGGACCCTGGAGTGGAAGACCAGCTGAGAGGGAGGTGGTGAGCTGTCTGAAGTGACCCTACCTTTGGGTCCTTGGAAATGCATGCTGAAGAAGAACTGAGGTCTGACACACTCTCCTTTCCTCTAGCTTGCTTTTCACGTTTCAGAGGTTGCGGAACTGAGCCAGCACCACTTTTAAGCTTTACGTGTCTGAGAAATCCAGTCAAACTTCAGGAACCTGGCTCAGGAGGCCTGCAATAAACACGCCTCATGTTTCTGTGGTAGCCGTAAGGCTGCTGGTTCAAGTAACAAAGGGATTTTACATTCATCCAACAGGGTTGTCCTCACAACAGCCCATGAGGTAGGCAAGAGGAGGTGGTTTTGTTCTAATTTTACAAACGAAGATATTTTTAATCATAGAAGTAAACTGACTCGTAGTAGCAGTTCCTATATTAGAAATTCTTTGTCCGCCTAAAAGCACCCTGGACTTTACCCATGGAATTCCTTGACTTTTGCGTTGTAATTCTTAGTCTATGTGTGTTTGGAAAAGCATGATGCTTTTGAAGACAGGGACTTGCAAGTGTGTTTTCGACACATAGAAGTGTGTAACAAGGCAGGTCAATGACAAATTTGGAGCCTGGGGTTTCAGTCCTAGGTCCTCTACCCTCTACATTTCAAATGTGTAGATCTTTGGGACTCAGAGTCAGTGTATGGGAGCGTAGTCACGTCAGGCTCTTTCTGGGAAACAGGAGAAGGCCAACCTTCTCTTCTTTCTTGAAAAGACATGCCCTGTGATTGGTGGAGACAGTGTGAGAGAAGTAGCGTGGAAACTGGAATTCACAATGGAGATGGCAGATTATAACGATTCTCTCACCTCTGCCCACAAAATTGACATGTAGTAACTGGGGCAAGTTTCCAGAAAACAAAGCTATGTGTCACTGTCAGCTGAGCTAAACAGGACATGGCGATGGAGCAAGGTCAATGCTGAGTGGCGAGGAGAGAAAATAAGGCCCATAGAGGAAAAAGACAGGCTCCCAGGTTTGGGGATGTGAACTTAGGATTTTAGCATGACTCTCTGTCCTGTGAAGCAAGAAAACCACTGACTTATGACGAAATAACATTCTTGTCAGCTGTACACCTGATTTTCACGAGGCACCAAGCATTATGTTTTTAATGTTATGTGCAGTTCCAGGAATACTTTAATACTAATACAAACATTTTAGAATAAAGTAGAAGATACATTTTATTTAATTTGTCCAAAAACTTGGTTAAATGTTAATTAAAAGATATTAGATAGCAAAATGCCTAAATGTTTCCTTTTTAAAAACAAACTTTCCTTGAAATATAAAGCTCTGGCTTTGCATTTTAACACCATGCTTGTTATTTTTTCAGAGATGTATTGGGTCCGGTACAATGGCCTAGTGGCTGAAGCCTCACCTTGCAAGCACTGGGATCTCAAATGGGCACAGGTTCATATTCTGGCAGCTCCATTTTTTCCATCCAGCTCCCTGCTTGTGGCCTTGGAAAGCAATAGAGAATGGCCCAAAGCCTTGGGACCCTGAACTTGCATGGGAGACCTGGAGGAAGCTCCTGGCACCTGGCTTTGGATTGGCTCAGCTCCAGCTGCTTACACTTGGGCAGTGAACCAGATAATGGAAGATCTTTCTCTCATTTCTTCTTCTCTTTATAGATCTGCCTTCTCAATAAAAAATTAAATATTAAAAATGAGAGAGATTTATTTATCTACTTGAAAGGCAGAGTTCCAGAGAGAAAGAGGAAGAGTCAGTGAGAGATATTTCTGCTGGTTCACTCCCCAAGTGGCTGGATTATGTCGAGCTAGGCTGATTGGAAGTCAGGAGCCAGAAGATTCATCATGGTCTCCCATGTTTGGTCCAGGAGCCCACGTACTCAGGCTAGCCCCTGCTGCTCTTCCAGGCACACCAGCAGGGAAATAGACTGGAAGTGAAGCAACCAGCATTTGAAACAGTGACAGTATGGTATGCTGACACAGCAGGAATCAACCTAAACCTCTATGTCATAGTGCTGGCCTCCATGTTTAGTTATTTTATAAGAAGAGATTTCAGACAATAATCCAAATCTTGGAAGATAAACACTGTTCTTGTAATGTGATCACTTCTGCTTAACATGATATGGTCTGAATGGATCTTCCAAAGTTTATGTTTGGGAGGCTGATGTGTTGACTCAACTTGCTAATCTTCCACCTCCAAGTGCAGCATCCCATATGGGCCAGGTTTGTGTCCTGGATGATCCACTTCCCATGCAGCTCCATGCCTGTGGCCTGGGGAAGCAATAAAGGACGGCCCAATGCACTGGGACTCTGCATCCAATATGGAAGAAAGTTTCTGGCCGTGGATTGGCTGAGCTTCAGTAACTGTGGTCATTTTGGGAATGAATGAGGAGATGGGAGATCTTTCTCTCTGTCTCTGCTTATCTCTATAAATCTGTGTTTCCAATAAAAAGAGATAGATCTTTTTTTTAAAAAAAAAAATCATGTTTTAGAAGCTTAGTCCCTGTGTAGCAGGGACGCTTGTTGGATGGGGCAATGCCAGTATCTTGGGAATAGCTTCCTGAGGAAAGGATGAATCCCCCTCCCTGCTCATGATTTCTTTCATTTTCCTTCTCCTTTCACCATGAGGTGATACAACAAGAAGTCCTTGGCCATACACAAGTCTCCTTACCTTGGACGTTGCAGTCTACAGCAAGGTGAGCAATTAATTTCTGTTCTTTTTCTGTAACCCAGTCTCAGAATTCTAGTATAGCAGTACAGAATTGCCTAAGACAAAACCCTAATAATAGGCATTTTGAAAAACAAATGACTACTGAACTACTGGTTTTAAAATAAAATAAGTTGTAGCAATACTGTCAGGATCTAAAAAGGTCAACAACAGTTTCTCACTTTGAGACAACGCAAGTCCCCTCCCCCCAAATACAGAATCATTTTTTTCCTCTTTCAATTATCTCTCATAATCACAAAGTTTCTGGAGTTCCTGCCATATTCTGTTCTGTCACCAATACTGATTGAACAATACCTGCCTTGGAAATCCCACTCTTTTTTTTTTTTAAGATTTATTTTTATTATTATTTTTTTTTATTGGAAAGGCAGATATACAGAGAGGAGAGACAGAGAAGAAGATCTTCCGTCCGATGATTCACTCCCCAAGTGAGCGCAACGGCCGATGCTATGCCGATCCAAAGCCAGGAGCCTCTTCCGGGTCTCCCACGCGGGTGCAGGGTCCCAAAGCTTTGGGCCATCCTAGACTGCTTTCCCAGGCCACAGGCAGGGAGCTGGAAAGGAAGCGGGGCTGCCGGGATAGAACCAGCGCCCATATGGGATCCTGGGGCGTGCAAGGCGAGGACCTTAACCACTTGCGCCACTGCGCCGGGCCCAAGAAATCCCACTCTTTTATGTCCTCAATTATTTTGTCCAAATAGAAAGAAGGAAATAATGAATGTAATTCATATTCACTGAATTTTATTGCTCATGACATTTATTTATTTATTCATTCAGTATCTCAGTATTTTTAACAGATATTTATTTATTTATATATTTGCAAGGCAGACCTAGAGAGAAAAGAAACAGAGAAAGCAACTCCATCGGCTGATGCACTCTCCAAATGGCTGCAGTAGGCAGAGCTGAGCCAGTCCAAATCTGGAAGACAGGAGCTTCTATGTCTCTCATGTGAGTACAGGGACCCAACTACTTGGTCTATCTGCTATTACTTTCTCAGGCTGTTAGCAGGGAACTGGGGTGAAAGCAGAGCAGTCAGGACTTGAACCTGTGCCCATAAGGGATGCTGGCATCACAGGTGGCTTCGCCTGCTGTATCATGGCGCTGGCCCCTTAGTAACTGTTTTGAGAGTTACTATTACCAGGCACTATTCTAGTTTTTGGGATAAGAGAGTGAACAAAGCAAAATCCCTCTTCTGACGCTTCTTATACTTTAGTATAGTGTCCCGATGTGGCAAAATAATAATAGAGCAGAATAAGAGATTAGAGAACAAAAGATGAGGATTTGTCTCATAAAACGGATAAGGAAGCCCTGTTTGGTAAGTTGTCATGAGTAGACCTGAAGACACAGATTGACCTGTTGACTACACTGGGAAGAGTTGTTCTAGAGCAGTGGCTCTGAGTTGGGAGTATGCTTATGGTATGCGTGAACAATGAGGTGTTTAGTGAAACAGGTGTGGATCAGACCGGGGGAAAGTGACAAGAGATGACACTGAGAAGCAGCCATGAATCATCATGTAGAATATTGAAGACTCTTAAAGGGCCTTGTATTCTAGGTGTTAAGAGAGACACCTGACAAGCAGAGGAATAACACGTTCTGACTTGCATGTTAAAAGTATCATTCTAGTAGCCTGTGAAAAACAGATTGTAGGAGGCCAATTTAGAAACAGATTGCAATAGTGCAGGCAAGGGATTATGCTTGATGAAGGTGATTGGTTTCTGGTGGAGCCAAGATAATTTGCTGATGAATGGTTATTAGGTGTGGGAGAGTAGAGTGAAGGGTAATTACCATTTAAGGGCTGAAAGACTGAATGATTGAAGCTGCAATTTACTGAGGTAAAGAAGACAGTTGGAGGAGGAGGCAGAGAGTTAAGACACAGGAGTTTGGCCAGCACATGTGAAGTTTTAGGTGTCTGCCAAACATACAAATGGACATGATGAGTAGGATGCAGAAGACTTGATTTCAGGAAAGAAGTCAAAGTCAGAATAAAACTGTGTATCTCAAGGCAAGAAACTCACTGAGATCAAGCAAAGAATGGGGTGGTTAAGTAAATTAGTTTACTCAGCATCAATCCAGAGCTAGTTCAGTATTCACGGATAGGAGAGATTTTCAACAGTAAGCAGAGAAGACCAAGAATATTTTGGAAAGAAAAAGCTGAGAATGGGTGAGGCAGATCTTTTGGATCAAAACACCTCAAGGAAAACTAATTGAATGCTGCTGATGAAAGATTATGTTTTAAAGGTCCTCATTTCAGCAGATACTTTCTTTTTCATCTTGTCTCAGATGTTTCTAAACAGGGCATCCCCAGGAGTTTTTACTGATCTCATTCTGCCCCATGCAGGGTCCTCCCTGTTTCTTCCCAGAAACCTTGACTTGATCCAGGAACAAGGAAAACTGTGACGTTGAACCCCAGAGTGAAGTTGATTTAAGGAGAGTGAAACATCAAATCCAAAACCACCTGCAGGTCAGTTTATTCAGAATAGCTTCTCTCTGTTCTCACTCTGTTTACCAAAATTTCAGGGATCAAAGTCATAACCTTTTAAATCTGCTGTTGTGACCATTGTCACATTTGTACTAGCATGCTACAAATGTGTTAGTTCGTGATATAAACTTCACTGAATCTGAACTCACAGTACTTGTATTTCTGTCTTGGGTTGGCTAATGAAATGCAGCATAACATTGGGGAAGCCACCTTTCTGGCACTTAATTGAACTAGAACAACGTTAGTAAACAAGTAGAAGCAGACTTGTGAGTCAAGTTGGAAACATAACTATGGGACACCATATAACATGGTAGTTAAGACACCCTTTGGGGATCTTAATCCTACATTGGAGTGCCTGGACTTGAATCCTGTCTTGGCTTATCCCAGCATCTTAGAATGTGCACTCCAGGAGACAGCAGATGATGACTCAGGTACTTTGGTCCTGGTGCCTATGATAAAGACCTGAATTGAATTCTGGGTCCTGGTCTCAGCCTTATCTTTTATATTTTATGTACAACTAGTGGTTGTGTTGGAATTCTTGCACACTCTCTTGTTAGCCCTCAAGTTGCTTTGAGGATTCCTTTGTATTTTCTATGTCCACAACAATGTTGATACAAAAACAATAATAATTTGTCTCTCCTTCTCTAATCTATTTACAGCTTAATTACTTTTTCTGTCTTGTTGCTTTGGCTAGATACTAGTGAACTAATGAACCTTCTCAGTGACTTGAGAAACACTTTTTTTTTTGTTCTGAATCCACCACATTGCTTCTAAAGATTTAACAGTAAGTATAATGTATGCTATAGTTTCCTACAAAATTTTGAAGTTGTGTTTATTGAATTTTGATAGATTTTTGTTATCTCTTCTGAGATGATAAAATGTTGTTTAGCATTGTATTAACGAGCTGGATGATGCTGAAAATTTTTATAGGACTGGACCATTTTTAACATTGTTAGGTAAGTGCTATTTTGTCATTGTTTCATTTGGGCTTTTTGTGCCTATTTTCATAAATTATAATGTTCTATAATTTTCTTTTCCTGTTTTTTGAGCAATGTTAGTATCAAGTTTCCTTTTAGATACTCTCTGTTTTCATGTGCCATGGATTTCTGCACCGTTACTCATCCATGAAAATCGCTAACTTCATTTTGAGCAAAGCCATATAACTTACTACATTAGAAAATGTTTCTTCTATCTTTTTTGTCAAAGCTGAGAAAAGACATGTTCACATAGACTAATTTTGCCCACAAGAAGTAGTATTTAAAAATTTTACTACTGGGGACCAGGGTTGTGGTATAGTGAGACAAGTCCCCATCTTCAATGCCACAACATATTAGGGCACTGGTTAATGTCCCAGCTGCTCCACATCTGATTCAGCTCACCACTAATTTACCTAAGAATGAATCAGAACATGGCCAAATTGCTTGGGCCCCTGCCACCTGTGTGGGAAATCCAGATGAAGCTTCTTGCTCCTTGCTTCAGCCTGGTCATTAGAGTTATGTGGGGAGTGAATCTGTGGATAGAAGATTTCTGTCTCTGCAACTCTGCCTTTCAAATAAATAAGTAAATATTTTTAAAAATAGAGAGATCTCATCATTATTTCAATGGAGCCAGCCGAGAGAAAGATATTAAAAGCACATGATCAGACTTCTCATTCCAGGTTATATGAAGTAAACACAGCTTTATTTTCACCACTAAGTATAAACTTCATTTTAGAACACAAACATGGGAAGTTTCTAAAAAGTTGGGATGCACAAGCTAAGAGCCTTGAAATCAATGAACAGCATGGCAATGAGTTCCCTAAGTTTCATTTTTATCTTCTCTTTATTCTGAGATGTGAGACTAAAACCCAGAAACATCCTTCAAGAAAAACCTGCACCAATTCATCGAAAAAACAAATAGGGGTAGTCTAGCAAGACAGAAACCTTTAGTAATAACCATTCTGTTGGAGACAAATGTCGTGGGAAATATAGGCAAATCCACCCCATCAGCAAATGTCAAATGAAAAGCCTAGACCTCTACAACTCTTGGTAGTAATAAAGTTACTCCCACTTCCCCCTTCGCACCCTGCTCCAAAGACATAGTAGGGCGACATCAGAAGAGGCCAGGTCGCAAGGATGAATACACATTCCCTCCTTGCGGTAAGGTGTCAGAGAGTCCTGCCCTGTACATCAGAAGTCATCAAATCTCAACCTGGATCAAATCTCAACTTGGATGAAAACTGGCAATCAACAAATGGCAAGATCAAGATAAAACAGATGTTGCAATCATCTGACCAGGATTTTAAAGCAGCCATCATAAAAATGCTTCAGAAACATCCAGGCATGGTAGCCTAGTGACTAAAGTCCTCACTTTGCATGCCCTGGAATCCATAATAGGCACCAGTTCATGTCCCAGCAGCCCACTTCCCATCCAGCTCCCTGCTTGTGGCCTGGGAAAGCATTCAAGGATGGTTCAAAGCCTTGGAACCCTGCATTTGCATGAGAGCTCCAGAATAGCTCTTGGCTCCTGGCTTTGGATTGGCTCATCTTTGGCCGTTGTGGCCACTTGGGGAGTGAATCAGTGGACCAAAGATCTTTCTGTGTCTCCTCCTCTCTGTATATCTGACTTTCCAAATAAATAAATAAATATTTTTTAAAATGCTTAATAAAGCAATTACAAACACATGTAAAACAGACAAAACCCCTCTAGAACTTCTTAATAAATGAATAGAAAATATGAAGAACCGAAGAACCAAAGAGAAAACTTTGAACCAAATTAACACAATTACTGACACTTGAAATTCCTTGAAATGGATGGACTTAATAAGGAAAATGGAAGATCATGAAGGACCGAATCCGTGCACTTGACAGAAGACAATAGAAAGTGTCCAGTCTGACTTATGACTGCTTATGAAGGACTATACTACTGTAATAACATAGGGGAAATCAGCATTAGGGAGATTGTATCATAAAATAAAATAACAAAAACAGAAAATAGACTGCAAAAAAAATTTAAGAGAGCCTCAAGGACCTACAATTGTAAAAGGTAAGACAAACATGAATTAAAGTTCCAGAAAAGAAGAGAAAAATTTTGGACTTTTGAAGAAGATATTCTTAAACATATTGGAATTTCCTCACATGTAGCAGAAGGCATAAATCTGTTCATTCATTCCAGAGATAGAAAACAGGAAAAAGTCAGAGAAATTCACATGAATTAAATTTTTGAAGACTAAACACACATACACACACACACAAAATATTTTGAAAACAGCTACAGAATAAAATTCCTTACAGGGAGAAAATCTTCTTTCTGTGTCTTTCAAGTGATGAAAAAGTACTATGCATCTGGATTCAACATCGCTATTTTAGTAGTTGAAACTACAGCCTGTGATCCTGGCAACCCCATCCCACATGGGTGCTGGTTCAAGTCCCAGCTGTCTGATCCAGCTACCTGCTAATGGCTGAAAATAGAACAGAAGATGACCCAGAAGAAACTTCTGCCTCCTGGTTTTGGTCTGGCCCAAATTTAGCTGTTACTGCTGAAAGGACTAATTGTAATGGTGACTTTATCTTGGATGTCTGGAATCTACTAAAAAATGTCTGCATCCTGTTACGGGAAAACCCTGCTTTTTGAGACACCAGGTTGCAAAATAGGAGATAGGAAGGATTTTGGAATTCTTAGGATTCCCAGAAAGGACAGTTAGTTACCTTTGAGGCATGTTGTGATAAGATCAGAATCCTGAACCTTTGCATTGTAAATGTTTATTGAAGTAATAAGATCGGAATCCTGAACATTGTAAATTTTTTACCTGCTTTCTGCTCTATGTCATGAAATAATCCCTCATTTAGTATTTGTCCAACATGTAGCTATTGATTCTTATATAGAAAATTGCTATAAACCCTCCTCCCATTTGCTTTGTTCAAGGTGCTTCTTGTACATGGCAAGAGGTGGCCACCTGACTGAAGATTAAAATTGTTTCACTCGCCTTGGAGTCTCACTCAATTTCTTTGCACCCCAGCAACTGCTACTTGGAGAGTGAATCAGCAAATGGAAGATCTGTCTCTGTCCCCATCTCTCCTCTCTCCACAACTCTGACTTAATAAATGAATGCATAAATAAATAAATCTTTTTTTAAAAAAAAACCTACCAATTTAGAATTCTGAACACAGGAATTGGAGGTAAACTCAACCACACACTGGTTAAGGAAAACAACGAGTATTTGTTACCATCAGGCTTATCTGAAGACAGTAGCTGAAAGAATGTCTTGAAACGGAAAGAAATGATAACATAAGGAAACCCGGAAAATTAGAAGTGAATAAAGAACAGAAAGAGTACAAACATGGGCAACTATAGTACATTGTTGTAACTGCTTGAGTTGTCTGAATTATGTTTGCCAGTTGAAACCTAAATTGTAGCAATATCTAATATGGTTCTCATTATATATTAGTGATATATTTAAAATAAGGATTGTACAGAGGAGGAATGATAAGATTTCTATACTTCAGTTAAACATGGTAAGTTATATACATACAATGTAATGATGCCTGGAGCATCCAAAAAAGCTGCATTCAAGAGTCACTGCAAATGAATAAAAAACTTATAAAAATACTCAATAACCCTTAGGGTGGCCAGGTAATTAAAGCAGGGGGCAGGGCAGATGGAGCAAAAACAAGCAAAAAAATAGACCGGTCAACTTAAATCCTAATATATTGGTAGTTACATTGTACAGATCAGTAAAATAAAATAGATAATTACAGAATACATCCACACAAGTGCAACCATCTGGTTGATGATAAAGGGACAAAAATAAGGAATATTTTATAGTACAGTGTGTTATACATCTACTTGCAATGCTGGCATCCTTTAATGGAGCATTGGTTTGAATATCAACTGCTTTTCTTCCAATCTAGTTTCCTCTAATGTGCCTGGGAAAGCCATGGAAGATGGCTCAGATACTTGGATCCCTGTCAGCCAAGTGGGAGACACCGAAAAACTTTCCAGCTCCAGCTTGGTTCAGCTTTGCCTATGCTGACCATTTGAGAATTTAACCAACAGATGGAAAATTTTACTCTGTTGCTTTTTCCTTTCAAATAATTTTTTAATAAAGTAATTTAGTGTGGGAAGGATAATGTTTCAATAAATGTTGCTGAAATAATTATACATCCACAGGAAGAATCTTAACCTAAACTGCATTTCTTAAATAAAAATTAATTTGTAATAGAGTTTATATTTAAATATAAAACATAAAATTGTAAAATGTTATGAGAAAACATTCAGGATTTCGGGTGAAGCACTCTTTTTAACCATGACATTAACAGCAAGTTCTCTGTGGGGAGCGTTTGGGTGTTACATAATTCTGCTCAGTTGAGATACTATCTACCTAAAGTTAGAGCAGACTCTGTAGATCTGCCTTACAAGAATACATCCAACATCAGATATCAATTGCAATTGGTTGGATCCCCAGGGTACCACAACTTTTGTCCAATTTGATTAAAAATCAGGTTGAATTCCCACGGCCCCACCTGGACTTTGATCACTTACTAGAATAACCACACAGCTCAGGAAAACATTTGTATTTACTGTTTGAATATGAAGGGTATGTCAAAGGATACAGATGAAGACGTGTTTAGCATGGAGTCTCTGAGGCGCTCAGCACAAGAGCTCAGTCCATGCAAGGTGAATACGCTGCCCTCCGATATCTGGATATGCTCACTAATCCATTAGCTCCCTGATCCTTGCATTTCCGGAATTTTTCTGATGACTTCATCATTCAGGCATGACAGATGATTAATTCATCTGCAGAAACTATCCCCTTCAAAGAAAATGTACACATATTTTGTTATGTTGCAATATCACAAGCAGTATACACAGTCTGTATTCTTATTCCTTTCTAATAAATTGACCGTTAGAATTATGAGGCGCCCCTCATAACTGGCATTTTCAATAATAGGGGTTTTCTAGCATGCTTAAGCCTAAGTGGTGAATGACAAATCTTATCCATCTATTAAATTTCATTCCTATCCGTATATTTTTATTTAAAGTACATCTCTTGTAAAAGTATATACTTCAGTGTTAATTTTTAAAATACGTCTTAAATAGAAAGTTTAGTTTGATGATACTTAATGTAATTATATAGCTATATTTAAGACTACCCTTATGCCATTTATTACTTTAAGATGTGGACAGGTGACAGAGTGGGCATGTGTGTGAGAGAGACAGTGAGAGTGCTCCCATCTGACTTACTCTCCCAATATGTTTTGTTTTGTTTTATGTTACATTTTATTATTATTATTATTACCATTTTATGATACAGTTCAATATTCCCTTATATCCTCCCCCCACACCTAGTTCCTCTATATCATTACGAACATATAGTTCTTCATACTCAGTCATATGTCCATCATTGCAGGCATGGACAATGGCAGAGAGTCCAGAATCCTATTGTCAAGATATAGTAAACAGTTTCATTGTAAGTCCATCTTTGTCTGGAAGCAGAAATGCATACTACACTGCATCCTCACATCTGGATGTTAGTCTCCATTTCACAGCTATTGTACATCCGCTTAAATGAAAAGTCATGATACAAAATCAACAATAGAAAGAAAAATGGAAATTTACAATGCCATGAAGTTAAATCGCATGTTACCAGATATGACAATCTCCATTACACAGCTACTTTACATTCCCTTAAATGAAGAGCCACAAAACAAACTCAACATCCAGGAGAAAAAAGAAATTAACAACACCATGAAGTTAAACAACATGCTACTAAATGACTAATGTGTAGCTGAAGAAATGAAAATCAAGAACCTTCTTGAAGAAAATGATGCCACTGCATGATCCACGAGTCACTGAATGATCCAATCAGAAGAAAGTGTCCCGAAGAGATGAAACCAACAGAAAACAACAAAACCCATGTGATAGAGTCTCCGCTGATCTTTGTTGAAGTGTGTCTCCTCCAGACAATAAACAGATGGGTTTTGTTTTTTAACCAGTCTACTAATCTATGACGCTTGATTGAACTTAAGCCATTTACATTCAGAGTTTAATATGTGTGTGTAGTACTTTGGTCTTGTTATTTTAGGAATGGGTTGTTCATTGGTTTAGTCTTCTGTTGTCATTTTAGTGGAATGTTCTTCACGTTTGCCTTTGGTTTTGGTAGGTGCTATTCCTCTTCTCTGTCAAGAGAACATCTTGAAGTATCATTTGTAGTGCAGGTTTGGAAGTGGCAAATTCTTTTAGCTTTTCTTTACTCTGGAAGAATTTTATTTCATTTTCAAAGACAAAAGAAAGCTTTGCTGGATATGTTATTCTAGGCTGACATTTTTTTCTTTTAGAATCTGGAATATATCATTCCATTCTCTTCTTACCTGTAGAGTTTCCTGTGAGAGATCTCTTGTGAGCTTAATTGGCATTCCTTTATATGTCAACTGATTTTTTCACATGCACATTTAAGAGTCTTTTCCTTATGTTCAATTGAAGAGAGCTTGATTATCATATGTCGTGGTGAAGATGGCTTTTGGTCAAGCCTGTTGGGAGTTCTGTGCCCATCCTGGATCTTGTTTCCCAATTCTTTCTCCAGATTAGGAAAATTTCCTTGATTATTTCATTAAATACATTTGCAAACTCAGCTTCTCTTTCTGCACCTTCTGCGACTCCCATAACTCTTATATTTGGCCTCTTAATAGTGTCTTACAATTCTTGAATACTTTTTTTGGCCTGATCCAGCTCTGCTCCCAGCTTTTTTGTTTGTTTCCACCTGGTGACAGGAGATATCTTCCAATTCTGAGATTTTTTCTTCTGCTTGCTTCATTCTAGTTTGGAAACTCTCCATTTTACTTTTAATTTGGTCTACTGTGTTCTTTTTTTTTTAAAGATTTATTTTTTATTATTTTTTTTATTGGAAAGGCAGATATACAGAGAGGAGCAACAGAGAGGAAGATCTTCCATCCGATGATTCACTCCCCAAGTGAGCACAACGGCCGATGCTATGCTGATCCGAAGCCAGGAGCCTCTTCCAGGTCTCCCACATGCAGGGTCCCAAAGCTTTGGGCCATCCTCAACTGCCTTCCAGGGCCACAGGCAGGGAGCTGGAAGGGAAGCGGGGCTGCCGGGATAGAACCAGCGCCCATATGGGATCCCGGGGGTGCAAGGCGAGGACCTTAACCACTTGCGCCACTGCGCCGGGCCCCGGTCTACTGTGTTCTTAATTTCTGATACATCAGTCTTGATTTGCTTTATTGCTTCCTTAAATTCTTTGAACTCTTGCATGAGCTTCTCATTTTTTATCAGAATCTTTAAAATGAGTCTTATGGATTCTGTGTCCCCCATTTTCTCGATGTCTCCCTCAGTTAACTCTAGGGTTGGCATAGGGTTTTGCTCCTTTGCAGGGGAGTTTTCAGTAATATTCATTGTGCCTTTGTCTCTTCGTTTGCTCCTGATCATTGTACTTTTGGTTAGCAGAGTCTTCTCCTTGGGACAGGTTTATAAGCTGTGTCACCCACAGGTCTATAGTTTGATTTACTTATTGCGGTTGGTACACAACGTTTTGCTTGCAGCCACTTGTGCCACAACCTCCAGTGAGTTCTAGGTCTGGCTTCTTATGTCAGATTTCCACCGTGGTCTCCACAGGGCCAGCTCCTGGCTCATCACTCTCCACCTCCGGTGATAGCGTGCAGAGGCTGCACCGTTGTCTCTGCAACCTTTCTCCCACTTTTGGTTGGAGCAGGTCCCAAGATTAGGGAGACACCAAGTGTCCTATATAATTAGGTTTTTGGTGGCGCTGATCTTGCCAGAACCTGTTGGACGTTTGGTCTGGGTGACACATGGACCTATTTTGACCCGTACGATGTCACAGTCAGTATTATTTTCCTGCAGGACCAGTGCAATCCATGGAACTCAGTGAGTCTTGTGAGCTCAGCACATGCGCAGTTCACTGTTGTCCACTGCAGTCACAAAGCTATTGCCACAGTGTGCAAAATGGTGCCTGATGTACCACCACTACAGTTCTTGATCTGCTGGCTGTCAGATCCAAGGGCTATCCAGACCTGCCCTTGGTGGAACCTGTAAAATGCCAAGTCATTGCAGTTCACCGAGTCAGAAATGAGCTCATTCCCTCTCAGAGCATGCTCTGTCCTTTCCCTTGCCCTTTCCTCCTTACACAAAATGGCGCCCAATTCAGCTCTAAGGGATGACTGGGCTGTGAAACCCACCCTGTTCTCATACTGTCTGCCTGGGATCTGCTGCTCTGTCTCTGCTCCTGGTCAAATCAAACGGATCAGCAGGACAGACAGTTCTTTGTCTGGGTTCACCTCCCAAGCTCCCAGTGAAAGTCCCTTCCCACCTGGTTGCTGGTGGAGTTCCGGCAGCTGGTGCAGTTCAGATCGCTGTTAGCTGAATGCTGCTGGAGTATCAGTCCAGTTGTGGCCGCTGCTTTCCCGTGTCTGTCAGTCTCCAGCTACCCCTCTGCTGTTGTTCTGTCCTATCCTATTTCCTGGAATTTGTCCTCTAGGTTTCATCCTGATTAAATGTTTTTCTGTTCATTTAAACGTGTCCTTACCCTATTCTGCCATCTTGGTTCTCCTACTCTCCCAATATCTAATATGGCTAAGATTGAGCTAGGCCAAAACCAGGAGCCAGGAGCTCAATCTAGATCTTCCAAATGGGTGGTAGGAACTCAAGTACTTGAGCTGTTGTTTGCTGCCTTCTAGAATACACATTAGCAGTATGTTGAAATTGAGAGCAGAGACAGGACTTGAACCCAAGTACCCTAATATAGGGCATAAACAGCTTAACCAGTATCTTCAGTGCTAAACCAAACACCTGCAATACACTTTTCTGTGCTTCATGTTTGATCACCCATTTCTCCTTTTCACTCTTTTTAAAAATGTTATTATTAGAAATATTTTTAAGTTAGTGCCTCTGTTAACTTCTTAACTATTTTGCATTATTTTTAGTGTTTACTCTTTATTGAATATTTGGATATACTTTTTGGTGAGGTCTAATTTGAGTTTATTGATCACTGGATTTTCTGCATAATTATTGATTTATAGACCCCCTTAATATATTACAGATATAAGATCCTCATGGGATATCTGCACTGCAAACATCTTCTCCTACTCGGTGGCTTTGGTTTTAATTCTCATAACAGTTCTCTTGGTTAAAACAACTTCTTGTTTTTATTGCAGTACACTCCAAATCTTTATTTTCTCAGCTATAAAACAGAGTTGTTACAGGGAATAAATAAAAGAAAGCAGATATTCCTAACAAAGTTCCCACTGCTTAGAAAACTCAAGCAATGTTATTATTATAGTGTGCCTCAGCTAACCTTCCAAATCTTTGAAAGATTATGTGGTTCAGCAGAACAGAATAGAACCTCTTCAAGTTATATTCTTCACATAATTTCATCACTTTGGGGTTTTAACTTACTTTTCCTCAAATATTGATGGAACGTACACCTCATGTGATTGCTGTTTTTGAGAAGCAAGAGATGACTCATTACACTTTCAGTCCTATGACCCCTCCTACCTGTTAAAACCCAGCTCTCTCAGGATCAGAGTGCTAGTAGCTTGAGCGCACCTTAGTGACTGAGATCCACAGAGCAACATGGCCGGTTTCCCAACACTTCCCATCCTCATCTTTCTTCTCTGCCAACTCCCAGGTGAGTCCAGCTAGGCCCTCTTCCATTCTGATTGTATTCATCCTGAAGTGCAGCTCCAGGTTTCTGGATTGAACAGGATCCTCTGCCTCAACTCAGCAGTCTCTGTTCCCTCTAGCACTTCTTTTTATCATTTTCTGACTTCTGAATTCTAGAGCACAGGAAGAGTCTGAAGTAGAAGCAAGGAAACCTTGCTCCTCCTAGTAGCAAAGGGAGCTAAAGGATGAGGGAAGTGATGCTGAGTAAAAGAAAAATGTGTGTTCTGATGCAGATTCTGCTAAGTTGGCTGAGGAATGCTGAGTTGGGTTTCATAATTTTTTCTCTTCTAGCCCTCCCTCCAATGGGAGGCAACTAAACGTTAAAGGTGTGTGTTCACTTAGAAATACATTTTATATGCATATTTTCTGAATATATTTTTATCAGTGTGCTTTAAATTGCTATTACGAAAGAAACCACTTGAATTTTTCTTTCTTGATGCAAGCAATGCAATTGATCTTTGCTTAGGAAACCAGCTCTCACCATTCATAGTCACTTTATATTTAGCTTCATGCCAAATGGAGAGCTTTTCTGTACCTGCCTCAGGTATTGCTAGCCTCTGAATAGTTTATCATCCTCAAGGTTTTCATGAAGACTCAGAAGGCCCAGAAGAGAGCAATGTCTTTCCTGTCATCATACTCATGGGGTGATTCCATGTGAGCTTTCTTTAAGGACTTGCTGTTAACTGCTCCTTATGTGCAACCCATATTAACCTGCAGTCACCTGCCTCAAACCCTGCACAGGCAGTCATCACTCTCAGTCCTTGCCCATCTGTCCCTTGGCCTCACTAAGTGGGCAGCATCAGCAGACTTAAACCCTCTTGAATATATCAGATATTTCCATTTTTAGGGAGCACCTGGTTCTGAGCAGGTGGTCCCGAAAGAGGCTGTTTCTTTAAAATTACTCCATAAACGGAAGTGATGATCAGAAACGGAACTTGAGAAAGGTAAGTTGGGGAGGGTGGAAGTGCTTTCCAAAGTTCCAGGTGCTCACCTGAAACCTGCACTGTGAATAACAGGGAACAAGCGTGAAAATCTGCCACTGGGGTGCCAGTCTGCCCTCTCCAGGGGGTTCCAGGCAGTCCTGTGGTGTTTCTCCTGCAATTGCAAGGAGTCAGAGATTGTCCTAGAACCTCCAGTGGAGAGAGCAGTGGAAAAGGACTAGCCTTAGGAAAGGACAACCTGGGTGTGGCTTAGTAGCTACATTCTTGTGAGCAAGTTACTGAGGCATGCCTTTCTCAAGTGCGTAAGAGATGATGAACTCCAACTTGCAGAATTCTTGTGTTTTCAATGAGATGTCATACATTAAATAGTTATGATAGTAATCACCACTTATGAAGCTCCTACTGTAAGCAGAGCATTTCTCAAACAATTTCCCCAGAAGCCTGTGAGGCAGATATCATACTCCTCTTCACAGATACAGAAAATTTAAGCACACAGAGATCAAATTTCTTGGACAAGATTTTATGTTCTTGTCATACCAAACTGCTTCACTCAATAAACATGTCTTTGAGTTAAATGGTCCACAGGGAGAGTCAATTGGGTTGCTTCCCTCTTTGGGTACATGAACTCAAGACAGGAAAACAAAGAAAAGCTAATAAAAGCAAAGAGCTCTGTTTTGGGAATGTGATGCAACAACATGAAGGAAACAAGGACCAAGGAGCAGGAGATGAGTGGATGGCAGTGTACTGGAGGAATTGAATGGGAGTGTGGTGGGCTAGGATGGGACTGTTTCTTGTAGGGAGTTGGAACACCTGTGAATCTGTTCTGTCCATGTCACATGTGATCTTCACATATGGTGCTCTTCTCAGGGGCATTTGTTTAGAAGACATTGAGTAAGGAACAGTAGATTATAAATTTTCTTTCTTTCTTTTTTTTTTTTTTTTACTTTGTGTGCAGTGGTTTTCTACTATGAAGTGAAATTTTATGTATAAACAAATACAATAAGTGATTGTGATGGATAAACACAAGTGACCAAATCGTGTTGGCTCTGAAGGACAGCAAGTTCCATAGCAGTTGCCATGTAACCCCTTGTCTTATATTCCTCCCTGTATGCCTCCCTCAAAGGGCCCCCAAAGTACAGTAAGGCACTGTCACAGATTTCAGGATACGACACAGACTGGGAAGGTCTGCCAAAGCAGTCTTATTTATTTATTTTTTTTATCCTGGCCTTCTCCTGACACGGGACCCATCACCATAACCCTCATAACCCTCGGCGTCCCAGCCTCCTCATTTGTAAAACAGAACTGAGCTAAGGAGCTCTCAGGCTTACCCCCAGTTCTGGTTTCTGTGAAAAGGGAACCACAGCATGCTGGTGCATTCTGTCCTGATAGAGGCACCATGTGTGTAAAGATGAGCTTGGAGACTGGGTTACTGAGCAGCAAATAGGCCTTACCCTCTTCTCCCTGAACACCTGTTCCTAGATCATCACCCTAGGCTTCTGGCTGCATTGGTGTTGCACCTTCCTTGCAATTTGGCTGCTTCCCTCCGCTCAGCTCTGGAGCCTCCAAGAAATAGGACAAAGTGAGGAGGTGACAAGCAAGAGGAAAGGGACGTGACGAAGCAGAAAAGATGTTACCCTTATCCTTTCCAGAGGGTGTCTGTAGGCTGATTTTCTGATGCAAGATCATCCAAGCATGGCCAGGATGGACAGTGGAGGGCCTTCTGCTCAGCTCACCTTCAAGGCAAGTTGGCTGTGGGATGCTCACTGCCATTTTAACCTTCTAGAGCATTTGCCGAGACACCATCCAAAGACAGTTGACGAAATCACTTTTTCAGATTTTGAATTATCCTTGCAGGAAAGAAACCAAAGCATGTGAGGCTCCCTCAAAGCCTGACTCTCATGACCGTAGTCCTGTCCCTAACTCCTACTCCCTCCCTCCTTGAAAGTGTTCAATACATCTCATAAAAGCTGTCAAATCCATATTCATGGTTGCAGTTTCACGGCTTTCCTATCTGACCATAGCACTATGCTGTCATCTTGGCTTTAGGAGAGAAGTTCTTGCGACTGTTGCCAAAAGACTATACAATTGCAAAAATATGGGGGAGAATGGTGTGGGGTAGGAAGAGAATGGGAAAAGAGGAAGGGGAGGTGAAAGGGGAATTCCTATATCTACAAAACTGTATCATGGAAAAATAAAAAATAAAAACAAACAAAACCCCGAAGTCCTGGCCTTCTCTCAGATCTGACCAACCCATGATGTTTCAAAACCAATTACTCTTCCAAGGAGGAAGGGCCACTGTTTGAGCCACGTGCTGATCAGTCTTATCGAAACTATTTAGCAGCTATATAATGAGCAAGAGGTGAAACACTGGCTTAGGTGGAAGGTAGATATTTGAGAATGGCTGAGCCTTATGGGACCCATTCCCTTGGGATCTTACAGTCAGGTATTGTAGCCACTTGTTCTCTTGAATCTTCTGATCCCACAGGTCATGTTCAGCTCCCTCCCTGTTACAGATTTTCACAATACCTGTTACTTTCCTTTTTATGACATATGTAGTTATCTAGTGACTGCTAAATCCATGCGTACAGCAATCATGACTGATTTGCTTCCCCATTTCATTTTTTTATTTAAAAACAATGCCTGGCATAAACAGGCAACAAAAGAAATGCTTGGAAAGGATGACTGGCTGGGGCAAGTGATAAATGTCCCACACCTTGCAGGTGGTGAAAGTCATCATAGAAATGGAAGTATCAAGTCAGCCTTGGTCACCTGCAAAGACAGGTCTCTTGTTTCAGAGTCCATGTCTCACAGACACCTAGGTAGAAGAAGCAACACTGTTCAGGACTAACCAACCCTGTTCCTGTCCTCTAAAGCCATAATTAGGAAATAGCAAAAAGGCAGTTCTCCTTTCATTCTCTGTTCCTTAAAGACCTGTCCTGAGGTTTGTGTGGGCAATCTGACTACTTCACCTTCCAATTTCATTCTAACAAAGCACAAGGAATTTGGAGAAATTTTCTTATGCCTCGTTATGATTCATATCTTTTGGCAATCACCCCGAGAATTTTGTGTCATATGTGCTGAAAAGTGAGTATCTGCTCTTAATGCATGCACAAGTGCTGAAGCATTAAAGCAACATCCTTACAGTTTTGTCACTTACCCACTTTGCTATGGTTTGCATGTGGTTTGTGTCCCAAGAGTTCGTTACTAAGAACTTGCCCTCCTGCCACCTTGGTGGTGTTGAGGGGGTGGAACATTTATAGGTGAGACTTAGTGAAAGGAATTAGACATTGGGGACATCATCGTTGCAAGGTCTCGTGGACAGAGTTAGCTCTCTCCAGAGCAAGCTGCTTAATGTGAGGCCAACTGGCTTTTTGTTCTTTCTTCGTGTGGCCAGTACTCTCCATTTCATCTCCATGTTGTGATATTGTTGTGGGGGCCTCACCAAAGGCCAACCAGATGTGGCTGCCCAATCTTAGACTGACAGACTCTTTAAACTAAAGGATAAACAAACCTCTTTTCTTAATAAAATACAGAAGTAAGAAACAAATTAATGTATGCCATAAATGTCTCCCTAAAACTTAATGTGAAAATGAAATAACTTGAAGGTTGCCTGAGTTCAAGGTTTGTATCACTTGCAGGGCAAGGGATCATCTCTATTTGACTTCAAAATACACACACGTTCAGTCTCTTATTGAAGTAAAAGAATAATCATAGTAACAAAATTTCAAAATAAAATTGAATTTATCACCTTGAGCTAGTTTTGATACTTCTTGAAATGATCAAAGAGACAGCAGTCAACACACTTATGCTGGCCTTGTTATCAAAAAAGAGGAAAGAGCAAATTTTAGAAAAAGTGGTGAACAAGATGAATTGATACAGGCTTGAGGAATCTAAAATATATGTGTACTGACTGATAAATGATAATGTGTGGGTGGGGAGTGGGGAATTTACTCAGAAGAGAAAGTAGTGCTTTTAGGAATAAATTTAGCAAAAAGTTGCTACAAACCTCAGACAAGGAGAGACCGGAACAGGTCAATCTGAAAAGGGTGCACCAAATTTCCCCTCCTTAGGGTACTGGCAGAGCCATCTGTGCTTAAAGGAAAGTCATCAAACTACATAAAGGAGAATGTGGGGCCAAATGGGCCCAAGAGCTTTGGAGTTCACACCTTAGCCTATTAAAGGGACGTGGAAGGAAAGTGAGGGAAAGAACTGGGGCTATTGCATATTCCAGGGATCCTACAAATTAAACCAGAAGTTGCAATTTTCTGAGCTGTCAAAATATTTACTTAAATCCTCAGTTCATCACTTACCAGCTTTGTGCCCAGGGGTAAGTTATCTAGTTATCAAAAATTTATTTCTCATAAACTCAAGATTTAACGAACTTTTCTATAAAGACATAGAGTATTTTGGGCTTTGCAAGCACTATGAATTGGATTGCAACTATATGACTCAACCTTTGCAGTTCAGAAGTATCCTTAAATTATCTGTAAATAAAGAAGATTGTGTTGTAATGTAATCTGTTTATATAAACAAGTATTGGATCACGTTTGTCCCATGGGTTGCCCTATAGGTTCTCGCTTGTGGTGTCATAGGTTCAAAACACCTAATTTGCTGGATTGTTTTAAATATTAGTTCTAATTTTTATTCTACATGCTTAGCATGGAGTAAACCTTTAATACTTGGCCATTAATTGTCATTTGGGATCGCTGATCAGAATGAGTTTTGGCAAGAACCAATGGAATATAGCTCTAAGGAAGTCATTTTGAATATATAGATAGATCAGTATAAGAATTTGTCTTTCTCCTAGGAAAAACATGAAAAGCATCAGTGCTAGAGGGGTAAATCATATTATAACAACAGTAAATTGTTAAATGAAAAACATCCCAAGTGCTTGGTCAATAAAATAGGATCAGTTAGGCATAAGAGATAAAAGGCTTAAGAGTCACAAGAGTTTTGAGTTTATTTTCTCTTGGAATCAGAAGAAAAATAAATAATTCTAATGATGAGTATAAATAATGAATAGAAACTGGATTAAAACTGACCTAAAATAAAATTCTGACTAATTTTTAAATATTTATTTACTCTTATTGGAAAGGCAGATATACAGAGAGGAGGAGAGACAGAGAGGAAGATTTTCCATCTGATAGTTCACTCCCCAAGTGACCGCAATGGCTGGAGCTGAACCAATCCAAAGCCAGGAACCTCTTCCGGGTCTCCCACATGGGTGCAGGGTCCCAAGGCTTTGGACCATCCTTGCCTGCTTTCCTAGGCCACAAGCAGGGAGCTAGGTGGGAAGTGGAGCTGCCGGAATTAGAACCGGCACCCATAGGGGATCCCGGCGCATGTAAGGCTAGGACTTTAACCACTATGCTATCAATCTGGACCCTGAATTCTGACTATTTCTAATGGGCACAGGGCCCACCAATGCACAAACACATAGATCCTTGGAAGCCATAACACAGTCTTTTTATAGAGTCATTTCAATACTCAAAACACCTGTCAGAATTTGGGAAGTTGGCTGTTTTCTTGGCTTTTTAATATTTTCTTGTTTTTTTTTTTTCCTTTTGTGCTTTCCATGTTGGGATTAATAAAATGCCTTAAAATTTCCTCCTTGCACAGTATGTTAAAAGGAAGAAGGGAAAATAACTTTGGGTTTTGCTACTTTTGAGAGCATACCCTTAAAATTAGTTTTATTTTTGCCAGATCTATGAACCTTAAGTAAATTCTCCATTTCTTTACTATTTAATTATAAAGAGGTTTGCATAGAATATGCCATTGAAAGTCTTGACCCAATCGCGACTCATGTGGGTTCTGTCAATTAGTATGTAGTCTGAGTATGTCACTTAACACCACTGTGCTTCAGGTAACTGACCTGACAGAGGAATGCAACACACCTGTCCGTAAAGGTTTGTGTTAATAGTTCAATGAGATCACAGCAGACACTTTAAACTGTTACTCCCAATATAAATTCTCTCAGAGCTCTGTGTTTCTACAGCAGTTTGCCTCATATCTTTGTGGCAAAAGATGTTTGTTCCCTGTTTCAGCTCACCTAAAATGCCCAGATGGCCACTTCTGGAAGTTTCTTCATCAGTCCTTAAATATTTTCTACTAGGAGCTACATCAGCTACTACTGATGTTTTCTTGCATGCCCTGCTTTTTGAAATAGGCCAATATTTTGACAAAAAAAAAAACTTGAAAAAACAAAACTGTTACATTTACTTTATTTTTTATTGCAAAGTCAAACATACAGAGAGGAGAGACAGAGAGGAAGATTTTTCGTACAATGATTCATTCCCCAAGTGAGCGCAGTGGTCGGAGCTGAGCCAATCCAAAGCCAGGAGCCTGGAGCTTCATCCAGGTCTCCCATGCGGGTGCAGGGTCCCAAGCTGCTTTCCCAGGCCACAGGCAGGGAGCTGGATAGGAAGTAGGGCCACCAGGATTAGAACTGGCGCCCATATGGGATCCTGGCATGTGCAAGGCAAGAACTTAAGCTGCTAGACCACTGCACTGAGCCCTATTACATTCTTAATAGTTTAAGATCAGTGTCACACATTAACCTGGATATTTTGAAGGTTTCTTGTCACTTACCTTTTCCCCTCATCCTCAAGCACATCAGAATGCAAGCAGAGAAGGACCACATTTGAAGGTCACCTTGAAACCACCCTAATCTATCACAAGAAAGATTAAATCATCCTCAAACTTCTGAAGAATCACCATCATCAGGAACATGAAGCTCACTTAACAACATTCTAACCCATGCTTAAGAACCATGGTTCCAGGGTCAAGGCCAGCTTCATCAAGTTCAAACCCAGCTGGGTTCAGGGCATTTATTAAGGAAGACTTGCATGGTAACTCCTCTGCTTGACCCTGCAACCCCCAGTAACGTGTCACATACTCACCTGGGTTTCCACAGGGAGCTTAGCTTCTACAGAGCTTAGCCTTTTCAGTATCAGGCACCTGAAACTGAGATAGCATCACTTACAATCATCCCTCTAAGCCATGTGTTCTAATCCCAGTGCTGTCAACAAATGGTATATCGAAATAGTTCCTAAGGCCTGTTTGGGTTACACTAAGATTTTTTTTTTAAATCAGATTCTTCCCCAGACTTAAAGGAGGTGAGTTATTTGCAGCAAAGGCAAACTTGGGCTTATTTTGTGGTTTTCTGTGTCTTTTGTGATTTTTCAGTGTTGGACGCTTCAGAAGAATTGAAGGAGCTGGTCTGTGCCCTAGGTGGATCTGTGACTTTTCCTCTGAATTTCACCATAGAGCCGGTTGACAGTATTGTCTGGACCTTCGAAACAGTCACTCTTGCCACCATACAGCCAGCCATGGAGAACAATCCAGCCAAGATCATAGTGACTCAAAGTCGTAACAGGGATAGGATGAACTTCACAAGTGAAAACTACTCCCTGAAACTCGATAAGCTGATGAAGAATGATTCGGGTGCCTACCGTGTGGAAATACACAGTTCATCCTCCCAGAATCCCTTCATCCAAAAGTATAAGCTGGATGTCTATGGTGAGACGACTCAGATTCAGTGGTGGGGTAGTGGGTAAGGTGATGCCTGCATCTTATATTGGAATGCCTGGGTTTAAATTCTAGCTGTTTACAATTTCAGCTTCCAGCTAACATGCACCTTGGGAAGCAGCTTTTGATTGATCAAGTAGTTGGGACACTGCCACCCACATGAAAGACCAGGATCCCAATTTTGCCTTTGTACAGACTTATTGTGATAGCTGCTTACAGAGTGAAGCAGCAGATGAAAGATTTCCATATGTCCTTATCTGCCTTTCAAATGTTAAACAAACAAGTAAATAAATATTTTAAAGGAAAGATTTTTCAAATAGGAAAAAAAAAATGTTTGCTGCTGCCCCTGGCTGAGATGCTAGAACCTATCCAGGCTAGCTGAAGCTACTCAACCAGCTGCAAGGAGGAGCAGCTGAGCAGCAGTAACAGGAACACCAGGAAATGGGCCTCCAGAATTGTTTGTTGGAAGCGCACTGTGAACCTTGCTCCACCTCCCCCAAGGGTACTTTCGAAAGTTTCCAAAAAAATGGAATTACAATATGAATGTCTCTTGACAGATACAAAATAAGAAATCATGCATCATTTTTTCATAATACGATTTTCTCCTGAACGTTTGGAAAATTCCTCGTGCATCTTTATATAAACATGACCAAAGGGAACAGAAGACAAGCATTTTTCAGGCAAACGAGCTGGGGAAGGGAAATCAAGAGCTTCCACAGCCCATGTGAACAGCAGGCTTTGTCAGCTCAAACTCATAAGCAGAGAGAGATGCATCACTGGTGTCACACTCTCTTCACCTCATTGGAGGGGAAAGATAAGTTAAACTTGAAGAGGGAAACAAAAAGCATTCCCATGCTATTTTCTTGAGGGTAAAAGTATAAGTCTCTTCAGGGAAGCCCAAGAACAGGGAAAAGGAAGCTTTGAAAAAAATTGGAAAATTGGTTGATACCTAAAATGCATTGAGCAAATGCTTGCTGTGCAGCTATGCTAGTAAAGGCAGTAGTATTTTCTTTTACTTTCCTTCTGTTTTTTAAAGATTTATTTGTTTACTTGAAATGTAGACTGGCAGAGGAAAACACACACACACACACACACACACACACACACACACACACCTTTCACTAGCTCACTGCTCAAATGACCGTAATGGGCAGGAGTGGTTCAGGCTGAAGCCAGGAGCCCAGAATGCTCTGGACATGCAGCTAGATGGCCAGCGCTCAAGCGCTTGGGCCATTTTCTGCTGCTTACCTGAGTATATCATTAGCAGAGCAGCTGGAAGTTAGGACTTACATTTGCATTCTGTTATGGGATGCTAGAATCGCAAGTGGCTGGACTTAACCTGTTGGACCACAATGCATGCATGCATCACAGAGCAACATTCTTATTGTATTTGAGATTTAATATTTTCAGTTGTTTTGAAAAAAAAAAACCTGAGGTATGAAAACCAGTTGTGAAACACAGAAGGTTCCAGGAGACTAAATATATACAGACATATTTCCTATTCCTGGTTGTCCTTTGTCCTTCACAGAGTACCTGGTAGAGCCCAAAGTCACCATGGCTCTGCAGAGCAATAAGAATGGCACCTGCATGACCAATCTGACATGTTCCATGGAGCAAGAAGGAGAAAATGTGACCTACAGCTGGAAGGCCCAAGGGCAGATGATGAACATGTCCTATAACGGCTCCTTCCTCCCCATTTCCTGGAGTCTGGAGGAAAGAGATATGAGCTTCATCTGCATTGCCAGTAACCCCATCAGCAGCAACTTCTCCCGACCCATCTTTGCCAGGAAACTCTGTGAAGGTGACTGTCTTCCCTTTCTCTCCAAGGTTTCATTATATCCTGTTCTCCAAGGTAACAGACACTGCTTGAAAACTGGAGGCCACTGGGAAACCACCAGGCTGGAAGGAAAGAGGCAGGTGCTGTAGGAGTTGGGCCATGTCCCCTAGCTGACTTTTCCTAAGCCTTTATCTATTCTCTCTTTAAAGGTGTCACTGGTGACACAAATTTCTTCATATTCTTCTTGTGTCTCCTGTTGGTACCCATCACGCTTGTTCTCCTTGTTCCGGTGCTGGTTCATTGGAGATCACAGAGAAAGAAAGAAAAAGGTAAAGCGTATATGATTTTTATCTTCACCCTCACCATCCTTTTTCCCCAAGTACATGGCCAGCTGTGTGCCAGGCTCAGTGCATTGCACTGAGGATTCGGGGAGGAAGACACCATAGTCCTGCTGTCCTGAAGCCCATGAGCAATCTGTACTTCTCAGCTCTGGAACATAAAAAGTGCTGGGCTTCTTTTCTCTTGATGACAGGGTCCTCTTCAGTTTCTGCTCTGCTTCTTCCCCCAGAACAAAGAGCCTCTAACTCTCAGTCCAACAGACCAGCATCTTCCAATTAACGCTTCCTGTCTCGGTGTCTGTTCTTATGATTTTCCCCCAAATCAGTTCCAATTCTTTGTCTTTGATCAACCTTATGACTTCTCTTTAATTCCCCACTTGAATCCAGATACATTCCTCCTTGAAAAGCTGTCCTCTCTTGCTCCATCCTGCATCCCAGGCTGTTTGTCCCAGAACCCTAATGACTTGTTACCTTGGGCTCCCATCCATACTGTTCAGGTATGATGTCACATACGTACATATGCATTTGTTGGGTGTGTTTGGCAGGCTTTGAGGTCTCTCACCCCTCTTGCAAGCATTCTGGAAGTATTTGTGATCTCTGCTTTCCACTGTGACTAACTTAGTCCAAGGGTCAGGAAGTGATAAAAATGACAAATTCAGCATGGTTTTCTACTATTTTCCAAGCTGTAGCACTAGAAAGTCTCCTACCCTGGAAGACTTGTGTTACAGAGAATCTTGGATGGTTGGACAGCCTGAGTAGCTCATCAACTGAAGCAGTGAGCCTGTAAGACTGGTACGGAGTAGGAGAGCCTGGTTTTGACTATCACCCAACTTGGTTTCAGAGTTCATGGAAAAGAAGAGAACAAATTCTCACCAGAAAAGTCCTGAGTTCCACCCACATTCTGGAGAGAACTCGGAGTATGCCACAATCTCATCTTCTGATGTGAGTCCTTCTCCATTTTTCTGGAACATGGCCCTCCACTCTGAGGCTATCTTTGCTTTACTCAAAAAATTTCCACAAGTTTGGGTACCATGAGAATGGGGAGGTGAGACAAGTGTTTATAGCCGTTATAACTCAGTGCACCTGTTGAGTTTGTACTTGGTGAACCTCCACCCTTGTGACTTTATGTTATCTTATGTACAGAAGTTGACAGCCTCTGAAGCATCTGGTTCTGACCCATTCTGTAAGGTTACATGAGTCACTTCTCCCCCTCGATATTCAAACAACATGATTTGTTTTTGCAAGTGACTGTGGGTAGAGAACGGTGACTTTGACATGACATTTGAGTCATGGTGTCAGAAGATTGGTTGCTTCAGAGATGCCTTTTCCTGTGAGGTAACACAAAGAGATGTCACCAGCAGAGGACCCATTTGACTGTCTACACTCAAGGTTCCCACGTTTTTACCTGCCTGAGCCAAAGTGAACACAGATGTAATTTACAGGAAACTCTGAAAAGAAAATCATAATGGAGCAGAACACATCTTTTGAGATTTGAAATAAGTAGGCAACTGAAACATCTCCTCAGGAGCAATCACTGTACTCCAGTGTGAGGGCCTGTTAGAAGGCATGGAGCCCCCTTTTTCACACTGGCACATTTAGCAAAGAAATAAGATCATCTTGGTGCCTCAAAATTCCAACTGTACCCCAGCCTTTGGTATCCCTTGATCAGCTTGTATCTTCTTACAGTCACCTGCATTCACACCTACAAAACGGGGGCATTATATTCCCACTTCAACGTAACCAGTGCCCAGGGAGTTGCTTCCTTCTTCATAAGGGAGACTGCTCTGTGCTCCCCTCCACTGGCTAACTGATCCTGTCATCTCTCTTCCTCCCGCTCAGATGCCTTTCTCTAGAGGTACCAGGAATAAACTTACCCAACAAGAGTATTTTTTTTCCAGTGATGAAATAATTATTTTTTCTTTCGTTCCTCAGTCATACTTACCAAAAGCCCTTTGGTTGTTAGAAATGTGTATTTGCAACATTAAAACAATGATTTAAAATTCATTTAAAACTCCACCTTAGGAGGCTCATAGCTGATGAAACAGGTTTCTTATATATTTTTGAAATTCATCTAACTTCAACAGTTAAAAGTAGTGTAATAAACAAAAGAAATTTAAAAATTTGAATTAAAAGAATGACACCCTGAAATGCATTAACAGTTACTGAAATAGCAATCACCAATAGGAATACTTCCTTCTCACTATCCATCCCAATTCCAGAACCCTCTCTTCCCTCTTATCATTTCTTCCCACTTCCATTTTCCCCTCTCTGCAGTCACAATATCTCTCTGGCCTTTCCTATGTGATTGAGAGTAAGTGACAATTTATTTTTGAACAAATTATTTTGTTGTTTATTTTTAAATAGAAAAAAACCTCAGAAGAAGATCCTGAGAATATATTGTATTCTACTGTACAGATACCAAAAAAGGTAAAATATTTTACACTTGGATTTTATTTACCATATCCCTTTTTTTGTTCCTATTTTAGCTTAAAACTTATTAGACCCTAGGAATCTCACTTTCGCTGATATTAAATGGTGTACTTAGTAAGTCCCCATGACCTTTCCTTAGAGTTATATAAGAATCTAGGGAATAGCAGACAATGTAATTTAGAAGTCAAATGGGAGTGATCAGGAATAAATAAAAGGAATGACAAAGAACATCAGAAGACTTCCCATTGAGGTCATTGAACAAGAAAAGGCCCTGGCATGAACTGTCCTTAGGGGCGGGAGGTAGCAGGAGGTAAGATTTAAGACTTACTTCTTCACACGTGGCAGAGGCAATGGTGATTCTCTGTTGTTTTTTCCTTCCTCTCCAAAGTAAATCTGAAAAGATGGAGAGGATAGTGAGATCACTTGACTTAGTAAAGGTGTGGTGGGTTTGTATTTAGCTGCCTTGGAGAAAACAAACAAACAGTGTCTGGGATAGAAAATGATCTGGAGTCCCACCCAACTCCATGCTGCTTCCTGTTGTCTGCCCGCAGGTGGAGAATCCGCACTCGCTGCCTGGGATACCAGACGTAGCAAGGCAAGTCAGCTTTGAGAATGTCATCTAAAAGCAGTGCATTCCATCAAGTCCTTCCCAGAAGAAAATGACAGGAGCAGTCAGTGACCTGACCAGAGCATCAAGGAAGAATTAAGAGCACTGACTTCTAGAACACACCAGCTTGTAACTAGCTTTCACATTTAAGAATTCATAATTCTACTTACCTCTACTCAGACTCTAAAAGAGAAATCATTTCTTCCTGAAAATGTGGTTGTCAGCTTGTCAGAAAACCCCAAGAAAGCAGCTTAGAAGAGATTTTGTAGAAATGGAGATGTAAAGTAGTGTCACTGGTATTAATGATAGCCTCTGTTGCATTAATAACGGCTCCAAGCCAAGGCTTGGCATCCCATCTCACTCCACGGCTGGAGGTCAGAATATGCCAAGAGTCTGCTTGCCAGGAGAGCAAGTCTTCTGGCCAGATATATGGGAATAGCAAGTCCAGCAGAACCAGGTATAGATACTGACTCCTCAGTACTGGGTGCCTGGTACTGTGCTATGCCAAGACACCATCTTGAGAAAATGGTTCCTCATGGACATCTTTAATGGGCAGCTTTAGTAGACCTGATCACAGTTGGCCAGAGAATTGAGTATATAGGACTTGAAGGCCAAAGTACAGAAAGATGGAGAATCCAGGCCAAAACAGTGGTTGGCACCATTGACTGAGACTCATAGATGGACCTGGACAAGGACAAAGACCTCCAGCACTAACTTTATTTATATTCTTGGGCTACAGGAAAATAGCCTGGGACCAAGGTTTGTATAGGAGCCAATTTCATTGGTGAAATGGAAACAGAGGGCACATTTTGGACCTAGTAAAGGAAATCAGGGGTCAAAGAATGGTGGCTTGGGAGATGATTACTGGAAAACCTTTCACATCTTTAATTTGCTCAGCAAATGTTTTTTGAGAACTTGTACTAAGACAGTCTGGTAAATGAAACAAACTTGATCCCTGCCTGCAATAGAACTCACCTTCTTTTGAAGAAGTAAAAACCTGGAGAGAGGGGGTGGGGCAAGCTGCTTCTGATTGGTTCCCTGACACATGTCTTAACTGGAGCCATGAAGGAATCTGGTGTCCCAGTGCTGGCAGTAGGAACTCAAGTAGGACAAAGTCTGTTTAACCTTGTGAAAGCACAAAATATCTCTGGAATGGTAGGGGGTGAGGTGGGGACAGGCTTCTGTTGTAAGAGGGACAAGGTAAAAGAAAATAAACTTGCAAGAGAAAAGTGAGGCAGCAGAGACTGGAGAAACAGGCTGAGCCTGATTTGAGAGGAAATGGAAATTAATAGTAGGATGCAGTCCACTAAACTGAGACAATAGGAGGATAGCCAGACCCACCTCCTGCCTGAACCATGCTTGAGGAATGAATTATGTGACAGATATTATGAGTGTTTGTAATTTTAATATAATTTAGGTTAGAAAGACAGAAATAAAATTTTAAAATTCATATTCATTTTGATTGAAAGGCAGAGGTATTTTCTACATGCTGACTCACTCTACAAATGTCTTTAACAGCCAGGGCTGGACCTGGTCAAAGTCAGGAACTTAGAACTCAAACTGGCTCTGCCATATGGATGGCAGAGACTGAGTCTTGGGGACCATCACAGGTGTGCATTAGCAGGAAGCTGGACTGCAAGAGGAGTGACAGAGAAGTGGGGACTCAGACTTGGCACTCCAGTTTGGAATATGATTGTCTAAAGCAGTGGCTTAACCATTACACCAAATATGCAACCCCCCTGCCACCACCAAGTTTCTCATTTTAATAAAATCAGCATGTCTTGAGAAGTGTTTTTAATCCTTTCCTAAGTCTCACAAACATATTAGGAGGGTGGGGTAGTGAAGAAAAACATTGAAAGGGAAAACCATTTACAAGGGAACCAGAAGTGAAAGCCAGGGCTTGAAGCTTGTCCAACACCGACGTCTTGTTGATGTCACCTCAACTGTGACACTATATACCATTTTAGGACCCAAGACGAAGTATTCATCAGAGCACAGAATTTAAAGGCCACTGAAATCTCAGCAATCAAGATAAATAGTATTTTATGAAATAGTTTAACATATTAAAATGAGTAAAAAATCCTTGACAAAGCAAATATAAAAATGTTCAGCAAAGAAGTGTCATATCAAATCAGATTGGAGGAAAAAGGGAAATCAGTGATATTGGTTCTTTAATCAAAATTATTCTATTTTCTTCACCAAGCATCACCATTTTCTGTCCTCCAGCCCAGAGCCAGTTGAACCTTTAGGCAAGAGTGTGAGCCCCTCAATATACTGTCGAAAAAGAAACAAATCCATAAGCTAATTTACAGCATTCCTAAACCATGACCATAGCCTTTCTAGGTAAGATCTAGCTCTACTGGAAAAAATGTATCATTGGGATTTCACTACCCTATTGCATATTGCACTTGCCAGAACTTCCCCAAAACAGTAATTTCTAGTATCCCCTCACTCACCACTATTCAGCAACTCCACCAATCTTACAATCCCTTGATTTACTTTCATGTAAAATTGTCCAGTAGATATTCATAGAATTTCTGTGAAGAGAGATGGTCTGGAGTACTTATGTTTAGTTGGCAGATATTCAAATAGAGGCCAAGAAGAAGACTTGTCTGAATTTTCAGTGAATGTAACACACGGTCGGAATACATAGAATGCCCATTCTACCATTCTCCACTACAGAGGAGGGGTGAGAGGGCTCACATGCTGGGGAGACTGGATCCTTCCTGTCTTGGTGTAGACCAGAGGCAAGGAATTAACTTTGGGAGTGGACAGGCCTGAGATTAGATCCTCTTCCTTGCAGTGACCCTGGCTATGACTTGGGTTGAGCCTCTGTTTTCTTGTCTGTAAAGGCTCTCTGGTGTAGCCTGCAGCAGTGAATAAGCGAGTCACATGATCCATGACACTTAGAAAAGGGAACAAGGGTCAAAACTTCCTAACAGTCAGTGAGGGACACAAGAAGAATCAACCCTTAAAATAAGAGCCCTTTTGTTTACCGTAAAAAGGAGTGGGGATATAAAGGAGAAAGTGGGATTTATTCCATAGCCATCCCAAAATGTTAAAAGAACTTAATAACACAGCTTCTTGGACAAGAATGGGAGTGAGAGAGTTGAGCTGATCTCTCTCCTCTACTGCAAAGCACAATTGTCATGGGCACCCTTAAATAACATCGTCTTCATTGTCTTTTGACACTGAGAGGCTCACACAAAAACATGCTTTATTTTACTCATATGGAACAGTGAAATTCTGAGAACTAATTGAGGGTCTAAACACAGGTCAAAGTCAAAGATAGACAGACCTTAAGGATATCCGGTTAAAGAGCCAGGGGGGAGTATGACAACACACATGGAAAAAGTGGAGTATAAAATTCATTGTGCTGTATGATTGTAATGATATTTGAAAATACTTGTGGATGCAAAAATTTGAGAGAAAAACATTGAAAATATTAACACTCCAGTTGTGTGGAGAAAGCTTGGGTGAGTCGCTTTTGCTCTTCTTGATCCTCCAACTCATTTACATTTAAACAGAAGAACTTTTTAAATAGGTATGTAATGAGAACAAAAAAAATGTTGCCCATAAAGAGGGGTTGAGACTCTCATGTTGAGGGTGTGATGAGGGCGGAAAGTGCCCCTCTGAGGGAGGAAGGGTGGGATGGAAGAAACCCCTCCACTGCTGATCGGTGGAAATGATTACTGCGGCTCAGAAAGGGGGCCACAGGCAGTGGAATGGGTCAGAGTGTGAAGATGGGGGAGGGGAAAAAGGACCGCAGTGCCTTTCTAAAGCATCTGCTCCTCCTGGAGCAAATTCAGATGGCGAATCAAGGGAACTGATGACCCAAGCTGCTCTGTCTTCCACCAACCACCCCTTACTCGCCACTGTTGTTCAACAGTTATGCAGTGGGATCCTGGGGAGATCAAAGACTTGGAGTCTGGAGACTAAAGCAGAAGATTTCCAAGCTAGCTACAAAATGAGGCTTTGGCTTACAAGCTCAGCCAGCAGCAGAGGAAACCACCAGCTCATTGGGGTGAGAAGCCACATGCATGTGCACACACACATGTGCAACCCTTAGGCTCTGATCTGCAACTACTGTGGCCAACAGCTTTTCAAGTACAGAAAACTTGGGAGGATGGGGTAAGGGACCCAAGAAGGTATGTATACAACTTTGAGAAGGTCATCAGCCATTTGTGCATGCATGCCTTCACTCAATCACTCTAGCAATGGTCCTTATTGAACATCACTGAATGCCAGGCACTAGCCTGAACACAAGAAATACAATAGTGGACCAAAACAGAGGCCTCTGTTTGCATTCTAGTGGGTGAGGCCAATCTAATGATCTTTCCAATGGTCAGCAGTGATAACAGGTCTGAAAGAGAGATGCGTGAGGCTATGCCAACCTGGAACATGACACTTTCCTGTGATCTGAAAAGACATCATACACACACACACACACACACACAGATCTGAAGCTAAGTACAACTGCTTACAAGCAGTGTGGAAAATAAAAACCCCTTTCTTGTCACTAGTAAGAGTGTTAAAGAACTGAAAAGGATAAAGTTAATATGACTAGACCAGACAAACATAAGCTTCTAGAATCGAATCAGTTGCAATTTGAGAAACACTGCAGGGGGCCAAGGCCAGGTGCAGACAAATTATTCAGAAGACTATGGTAATGGCCCAAGACTGAGGAAATGGTAGATTGGACAGGGTGGCAGGATGAAGATGGAGAAAGAAGGAGTTTCAAGGGAGTATCTAGGGGGTAAGGAGATCTCTTTGTTCTGTATGGTCTTGAGGGGTGTTTGCTGATCTAAAAGAGACTAGAAGGCTGACCTTAGCTTCTCATAGTCTCTTGGGACTGGAGAGACAAAATTTTTTAAGTCTAGGGTCACCAAGATTAGAGAATCAGTTAAGTCATTTGTCCCTTTGACCTTGGACTCCAGAGAACTTATCCTAGCAGAAAGAGTAAATAAGAAGCACACCTGACTTTGCCAGCTTTATGTCACCTGTATGACCAAGAAAGCCGGAAACCAGGGAACTGGCTTAAAGAGATCTAAGATGGCTGGTGTCCACAAGTGTGGCAGAAGATCTCTGGAAGAAAATCATATTCCTAGGTTTCAAGTTTTTCCCACAAATATTCTTTCATACGCAGTGTTTATCACACAGACATTACCAGGCACATGGGGAGGAAGGACCTTTGAAGCAAGAACCTCATGTGGGGAAAGAGCCTACCACAGCCTATACCCCAGGATGTGGTACCATCTCTCTTCCTCTTATGTCATCCCTAAGAGAGGGAAAGAGTGACTGCTACCCTTCTCTGTGTATGTGCAGATAAAACTTGAAGATAGGCTGGATCCTATCTGCTTATCACCCTCTTTATCTCAATCGGTCAAGATGACAGTCAATAAGAGGGGAGTTGACAAATCACGAAGTGACAATCAGAAACATTTAAGGCATTGACTGTAAGCCAGACACTTAACACACATCTGTGTATATATGTGGGGTCTGCAAAAAGTTCACGAAAATGCATATGAGAAAAAAAGTCAACATGATTTTCAAAATCTTGCGGCCAAATAGAAGTCTATTCTGATTTTATTCTGCCTAAAGTTTTAGAAGTATACAAACATATGCATGTACTAATTTAATCCTTCTAACAGAGAACCATTCCACAAATGATGCTATTGAAGTCAAAGCATTTTTCTGTTTTTCTAGTTTTGTGGGTTTTGGGGTTTATTCCCAATGATCCAGCAATCTTTTTGTTTTCTTTTTACTTATAGTGCATGAATCTCCAGGGAATGAGTTCCAGCAGCTGAGCCTGCTGTCCGTGAGTCCTGCCAAAGTGGGATTCTTTCGGGCTTCAGTTAAATCCAGCTCTTTTTCTCTTTGCCTTCTTTTTCTGCACATTTTCCTTTTTCATGTTTTCAGGAGTTATCTCAGCTTAAGCTAATCAGTAGGTGTCTTAGTTCTCTTGTCAAGAATCATGCCCCTGATTTGTTTGGTTACAACAATGCCACAGCATGCTGGGTAGCACTGTAGACTCCTCTGACTTTGTCATGGGACCATTTATAGGACATTCTCTCTCTCTTTTTAAATACATATGTATATGTATTTTTTATTATTTTTTGACAATCTTTAC